TTCTGTCCACAGGGCATTTGCCAGAGCTTAGTCACACGGACACTTCAGGCTGCCAGAGTGGCTGGAAGACATCACGGAGTTGGGTTTTCAGTAGGGAGATGAAATGGGTTTTGGTAAATGGGTGGCATCTGTCACGTTACATAACGTGCCCAAAGTCATACAGGTAATAATTGGCAGAGACAGAGTTTGAATTCAGTGCTGATTGAAAGCCTACGTTCTTTCTACCATATTATCCCCCTTTCAAATATTTTAAAAATTAGTTTTACTATTTTTAAAGATAGCTGAAATGTTTCATGGCAGTATCAGCTTATGAATACAAATGCTGCCACTTTTATTGCAATAAACCCTATTTGGCTGAATCTTCAAGCCTCACTCTTCTGCATTGCCAGGTACCCTGTCTGGTCCCCACATTGTCCTTTGCCCATGATTTTCTCTGGGATTCCAAAATCTATAAGTCCCATGCACCCATGTGCTCATGCATGCATCCCGACTACCACTCAATGGCAGCCACCTTCCACGTTCTTCCCTCCGCAAAGACGTAAAGTCATGAGATGCTTCATGAAGAAGGAAGACTTTTCTCCTTACCCTTCCGCACATATTGTCACCTAATGAGTCATCTAATGAGACAAGAGCCCAAAGCCTCAGAGAATCACTGCCAAAAATAACTCCTTTTTGTTCTATCTTCAAAGAATCTCTGAGGCTGCCAAGGAAGCAGATTCTAAAACTCATGTCTCCCTCTGCCCATCACTCACTGTACACGTGTACATGCCTTTCAACTAAGAGCCCCAGAGAGTCAATTCATGTAAACGAACTGCTTGTGGGCTCTCCCCAACAGCCTAGCTCACATAGCCAGATAGTTCCCAATCGAGACAGTGGACGCAGTCTAGCCTTAAGCTTGGTTTGCCACTATCCAAGGGTACATAGCACTAGAACTATAGTACTAGAACCCAGATAATCAACTGTGTTCACTAAATGTTTGTAGGAAACTTCTTTTGATAAACTAACAAGAATAGCTTGTTTAAAGAGGAAAAAAAAAATGCTTGTAATTGGTGTATCCATCATTTGAAATTGGAATCTTGACGTTATCTTGCCTTAATTCCAAAGGGATTTGATGCTTGCAGATACACATCTCATTTAGAAGATAATGAAATGGAACAAAGTAAGAAGTGAAATCAAACTGAAGGAGTGAGAATCTGCAGCCTCTCAGTGGTAGTGGAGATGATACAGTTTGGTGGGGGGTCCCTATTGCTGCAGCCAAATCACCACATCATACGTGCCTCTGTCAAAGTAGTCCACATGTGGACCCAGCTCTGGTCAAAAGCTGGGTTAATGTCCTACGTTGGCCATAAGAGTGGGTCATTGCTGGTCTTGCCCTAATAGTCACCTCTACAGAAAATTCATGATTTCTCTGACAAAAGGATAACAATACAGAAGTGCCAATGTCCCCAGATTAAGTCTCAACCCAAGGCTAAAGTGGCAATTACAAAAAGGCAAGTTATGAAATATAAGGTACCTGAGTGTTTCCTCCTCCTTACTTTTTTTAATGGAGCAAAGAAGATTTTGTCCTTCACCTATAACACAATCATATTATCATATTCTCTCTCTCTCTCTCTCTCTCTCTCTCTCTCTATATATATATATACACACACACACACATACACACACACACACACATATACATATATGCAGGATGTGCAGGCATGTCACATAGGTATACATGTGCCATGATGGCCCACTGTACCCATCAACCCGTCATCCAGATTTTAAGCCCTGCATGCATTAGACATTTTTCCTAATGCTCTCCCTCCTCTTGCTCCCCACTCCCCGACAGGCCCTGGTATGTGATGTTCCCTTCCCTGTGTCCACGTGTTCTCATTGTTCAACTTCCACTTATGATTGAGAACATGGGGTGTTTGGTTTTCTGTTCCTGTGTTAATTTGCTGAGAATGATGACTTCCCACTTCATCCATGTCCCTACAAAGGACATGAACTCATTCTTTTTTATGGCTGCATAGTATTCCATGGTGCATATGTGTCACATTTTCTTTATCTGGTCTGTCATTGATGGACATTTGGGTTGGTTCCAAGTCTTTGCTATTGTAAATAGTGCTGCAATAAACATACATGTGCATGACACAATCACATTCTGACTGGCCTCAGCATCTGAGGCAGGGCTGGACAAATTAGCCTGGAACAGGGGGTAGGACTCCAGTAGCAGAATGGGGTTTGAGGAAGCCCAGGAAGGAGATAGACGAGGCTGGCCCCAGGGAGAGAAATGATGACTCAAGAAAATCTAACAAGCTGGCTTCCCCAGTACCCTGAAAGCCGCTCCAGTCCAGGACACCAGATGCCACACTGCCTGTACATGAGGTGCTGTCCTACTCATCCCCATGCTTCAGAGTCACTGTCCTGGTGACAAAGAGCTATGACAAGAAAGGCCGCTTAGGTTACTCAGGCTCTCATAACACAAAAGGCTCTATAGGTAAATATGTTTTTAAACCAGTTGCCATGGAAATATGTCCTAAAGATAGCTAATACTGCTAGAGAAAACTGACTTGCAGTGATAGCAAATCAGACTTTGATTTCACCTCCTGAGGCAGCCTGTCGAGCAACTTCAGAACAAGTGTATGCGTAACATTGAGGTTTCACAGTCTTTGCTTGGTTTGCTCCAGAGTGTGGAGAAAGCACTTTGTGTGTGGACCTTCTGTCAATTGCTGATTATTCAAGTTGTGATTATGAAACTGGAGGGTCTTCTGGGCCTTTGCTTATCCTCTCTGCACTGTGCGTTAGCGATTTCTTTGCTTATTAGTGTTTCCACCAGAGGGTGGAGAGGATAGAAAATTCCAATCAACCTGTTAACAGCTTTCATAAGAGATCCGCTGAGGGGAGAAACTAAAACCACTGTCTGAAATGAGGTTTGCAGATTATCTATGCATTTAATGTATGATTTCTATGAGAGTAATCTGACCATTTGGTGTCGGCTGCGTGTGGCTTAGGTGGCAGCAGTAGCTTTGATGAAAACAGCCTTATAAATATGCACATAGATTTCTGTCTACACTGTAATAAGTGAATAAATGTCTAGAAAACTCAATATTCAAAAATAAATGTGGGCAGAAATACAGATCATTCAAACTTTAGAATGTTTTTTGTGATATGAATTATTAGGTTGGTCATTCATATTGGTCAAATTTACCTAATAATTGCCAAATTATTAGCAAAATCATACATAAATAGATTTCACAAACAAGAAACCAGAATGAGGAACTTCTCAGCTTCCTTGAGTCTGTGACTATATTTATCTAGCTATACACATGTATATATGTATACATATATACTCACATATAAGTATGAAAGTATAGATTTTAATAAATATATGTCTGTATATATGTAGTCACATATAAGTGCATGTGTGTGTGTGTATATATATATATATGGTATAGGGTGGCAGGGCTTTTTATTGCTTTGATGAACTTTTTTCATAAGTAAAATTCTGATTTTCTATATTTCCAGAATGTAACCATGCAAAATGAGTTAACATCTGCAGGGTACTTTGAAATGAACCTCTTCCTTTTAGGGTTCTTATTACTACCCCTCACTTTTCTGCCAAAGGTGACTTGCTTATGTATTTCTTGAGATGCAGACAACTGTACCAAAGAGCTGTGCATCCTCTGAAGATTCTTTTTCTCAAAGAAAGCAATTCTCATTCCTTTCTTTTCTAGGCAGAAGACACATTAGTGACCTCTGGGGAAATTTCTCACCTGAATTAAGAATTACCTGAGTTAAGTATCCTTCAGCTATTCCTTTTCAGAAACCTTTAAAGTTGGTCTTTGCCCAGAGTCTGCCTGCCCAGAGGTCAGTGGATGGCAGGTAGGCGTTTGTTGTTTTGCTGCCTGGTACAGCAGTATCTTTTCATTTCGTGCTCTGGAGAACTCCTCTCTCTCCAACACCCACACAATCACACACACACACACCTGCTATGTTTGTATGAAGCCACAGAGCACCAGCGGGGAGCGGCTGTTTGCTGAATGTCAACAGAATCATAAAAGTTCTCCTGGGCACCCCTTCATTTAAAACACCCCAGATATAAGACTGTTTATCAGAATTCACACTACATTTTGCTCAGTTGAAACATTCCCTTTTATTTAATAAATTTTGTCGATGAATTCATTTTTCCAGAAAATGTTAAAGATATTGTAACTAAAATATTAAAATTATCAAATTAACATTATTAATAAACTCTCTTTTCACTTAAACATAAATCAATCCAAATGGTATCTGCTTCAGCAAAATGCATTAAGCTTCTCTGATCTGGACTTTAAATGAGCTGTCAATTCATCTGTGTATAATTGCATGGATGTGTGAATATAAAACATGTGAATCAGCAGTACATTCTTGTTTATGACATTTTCAACCTATATAACTCATGTACCTGAAATAAACATCTTTTAAAAGAAGAGAAAATGAAGCTCATGAAGAAAAACAAGTGGGTATTTACAGTTTACACTTTTCCTTCCTACAGCTTTTTTCTTCTCCTTTCCGTCTTCCCTTTGTCTCCTTCCACAATCAGATGTTTCCAGTTGCATCAAATAGAGAAATATAGAGAGTGGATGGTGAAAACAGAGTTCCACGTTCTCTGTATTAACCTGCTTAAATTCTCCCATCATAATTCAGGTTATGACAATGACTTGCCCTCTTGCTAGAACTTGCTGCCATTTCCTGTGATGAACATCTGGATTCAGATTCTTTCTCAGCAGTATGTTAACATTGAGACTAGGGGTGTTTGTTCTAGAACAAGATCCTCCACATATACCTTTGCATTCTCTCCATTTCACAGATGAAGAAACTGAGATTTGGGGAAGTGAGGTTACTCATTCAGATGCATCACTAATAAGCAAGATTTTTTTTTTAGGTGGAGTCTTGCCCTGTTGACCAGGCTGGAGTATAGTGGCCCAATCTCTGCTCACTGCAGCTTCAACCTCCCAGGCTCAAGTGATCCTCCGACCTCAGCCTCCCGAGTAGCTGGGACTACAGGCGTGAACCACCATGCTCAGGTAATTTAAAAAATATTTTTAGTAGATAGGGGTTTCTCCATGTTGGCCAGACTGGTCTCGAACTCCTGACCTCAGGTGATCCTCCCACACTGGCCTCCCTGGGTGTTGGGATTACAGGCATGAGCCACTGTGCCTGGCCAATAAGCAAGATTTGATCCCAGATTTTTCTGGCTGAAAAGTCCTGTCTCCTGATTACCCTGACTCACACTCTCCTGGTGCAAGGAAGATTCTTGCTAGTTATTTTTGAGGGGCTCTACGTTTTCCTTCCTCTCTGCCTCCATAGGGAGTATTCATCCACAAACGAAAGCAGAGCCTGCCCAGGGATTTCCCCACCCTCCAAACTACATCACAACACATCAGGAGATGCTGGTTGTTTTCCTCAGTCTTTGCTGGCCTGGCTGTAAGCCCTCAAGCACGAGGCTGGCGTTGTGGGTGGCAAGCCCTGGGGAGGCTGCTGCTGCAGGCAACAAGGTCAGCTGGAACTGATCGTGAAAATATCAATTTTTAAAGTTTGGGGAAATCAAACAAGTCATTAATTAAATCTCTACAGCAGATGAAATAACTTCAAAGCTCTTGAGGGTGACTCTTTGCTCTCCTTTAAGTTCATTAAACTATTTGAAATTTCAACAGACTGGATATGAGGAACCACATTTTCTACCTGTCTGCAAAGATTTAACAGTTCTACTATGTTAATGAAGGTTTCAGCATTCAAAGGGATGAGACTCTTGACGTTTCTGTATTAATCATGTGATGAACTCTACAGATTCACAGTTATGTTTATGACTCCATGATTTCCACATATGAAATCTTATTGCATATCTATTTCTGGAGGTCTGTGTAAATATTTCTTTACAATCTTATTGCATATCAAGTTCTGGAGGTCTGTATAAATGGTCTTCTCTAAATAAAAAATACACACTAAAATGCATAACAGCAGGAAGGGAAAACTGTCAGATGGCTTAAATTTAGTTCTATTTACTAAAATTTGTGTGACTAGGTTAATTATTGTTTGTTTAAATGAGGCCAGTATGTCTGGCATTGATGTCTCAGGCACATGGAAGTGTTACCTGAGCTTGGCTTTCTGATATCAAATGCTGTAGTCAAAAATTTGCTGAAAAAAATTTCATTTATAGCCATACTGTTAAAAAATTAGCCCTCAACAAAGACATTAAACCAAAACAGAGTGAAAAGATTTGCTAACTTTTAAAACTGTTGCAGACATTAGGTAGCATCTGGTCTTGACTTAATGGAGACACCCATTTATTTTTATGCTTTATTAAATGTAATTTATTAAACAAATATTTATTGAGCATCAACTTGGTGCCTGACTCTGTGTTACATAGTGGGTAGTTGAAGTGCTGTTAATTCTTCTGTGAAGGGGCCAAAAAACCCACGTAAGACTATAACCGATGCTTGGTTAATGTCATTTGAGACTGGATACTAGGACACTAAGTAATCTCCAAGTGAATGATGTACAAAAGCTGGTCACCACCCTTCAACAACTGAAAAGAACAACTCCTGTCTTTCTGTTTAGCAAATAATAAGTCTGCGTATCGTTGATGTCTGACCTGAGGCCTCTTTCCAGGGTTTGATTTTATAGATGAGAACATTGGCTTCTTAGGTGCCTTCAGTTTCCGAAACATCTGCTGATGTTCCCTGCCCCAGGCAACCTACATTTAATGCTTCTTGGGTCCTTCTGGAATAAAGCCATGAATCTTTCATTTGGCATTCATGGTTTTCCTCCATCTGATCCCAGCCTGCTTTCCAGCCTGGTTTCTCACTAAGAACCTTCCGTACTTTATGCTCCGGCCAATTCTGGCTACTTACTTTCCCCACAAACAGGTCCCATCACTTGCTGACATTGTCTCAGAATGGCTCACCTCCTCACCCTTGCCCTTGAAAACCCTATCCACCCTCTAAAAAAGGGGACCAGGGACCAGGGGACCAGGGACCAGGTCCTGAGCCCCCAGCCTGATGTGATTACTTCCTGATCTGAGTTCTGACAGATCATAGTTTATCTAATTTTATGCTATCAGTTCCCTAGTTGGGTATATTTTATTATTGGAGTACCTGTTTTATTTTTGCTATTAAATTATAAAGTTTTAGGTGGGATAAATGTCTGAATCTCAGTCATCTTTGAACTCTGTACCAAAGCACTTTTGGAAATTAAATGTTCTTTGAATGAATAAATAAATGTAGGCTTGCCTCCCCATTCACCTTGGGCGCTATGTTTATGGCCTAGAAGTGAGAGATATGACCATTGTTGAAGCTCCTCATTACCTTGCCTCCCTGCATCAGTGCAGAAGCATTCCTGTACTGAATTTTAGGAAAGCATTAGGCCAATCAGCCTATTTCAAATAATAAGTCCTAACGGTCATGTCTTCTGGCAGATCCCATTTATGCCGGCACCTCAGAGAACTGTGGCTTCCAGGTGTTGCAGATGAAGTGACACATCATGACACGCACCATGCCAGTGGAATGGCCAAGAACGGAGCTGTCTCTGGGAAGAGGTAGATGAATTCCCTTCTAAGTTCACATTACAAAGGAACCCTGTCTATGGACTAATGAAACCCTTTCTGCTCACCTTGATAAAGAGAATTGGGCATTGCCTGCGCCAGCCATAGTCAAAAATAAATAAGTAAAAGTATATCTTCCATCCCTCCTTTCTGTAACCCTCTGTTCCCTTCCAGCATCCTACTTTTCAGTCCCACCTTTTATGTTTAAGACGTACTAAGGAGTTGGAGATGCTAATTTAGTATACTAACTTAGAATCCCCGTCTCAGGGCCAGGCGAGGTGGCTCACGCCTGTAATCTAAGCACTGTGGGAGGCCGAGGCGGGCGGATCACAAGGTGAGGAGATCGAGACTATCCTGGCTAACACGTTGAAACTCCGTCTCTACTAAAAATACAAAAAATTAGCCGGGCGCGGTGGCGGACGCCTGTAGTCCCAGCTACTCGGGAGGCTGAGGCAGGAGAATGGCGTGAACCCGGGAGGCGGAGCTTGCAGTGAGCCGAGATCGCGCCACTGCACTCCAGCCTGGGTGACAGAGTGAGACTCTGTCTCAAAAAATAAAATAAAAAAAAAATAATAATAATAAAAGAATCCCTGTCTCAGAAGTATTTTCAATTTTAACAAGTATAAAAAGGCAGTACTTCATAGAAACTAAGGTCTCTCTCTGGATGGAATTTCAGTCCTATGACCCCCTATGGTCATGTTAACATAGTTTAGTGATAACATCATGATTCCGTGTTGTGAAAATGATAGTACTTTCCTAAGGTTTTTCAGAGGATAAAATGGGATATTGTTTTTATCAAGAAGTAGGAAGGATCTGAGATTTAAATCCCACTTGCAATCTCATGAGTTCGCCTGCCACAGTTACAGGACACTGGCAGAAGGCGTGAGACTCTTGTGTCAGAGACAAAGGACTTTGTTATTCACCGCAAAAGCAGAAGCCAGAGTATCAGCATTCTCTTGTACTAGTCCCCAAGCCCCAGTTCCCGCAGGGCAACACAAAAAGGCAAGGAAAGACCTGTACACGTGATGGGCTCTGTTACAGAAGAATGCTGAACTTAGGAAAACGGACTATTTTTCAACGGGTAACCATACTGTCCGTTGCTCCAGAGTGAGACATTATGTTTATTGTACTGGACAGTAAGTACACATACTCCTAGCTTTGGAGGGAGACACTGTATCAATCTTGCAAAGCTGTTTGGTATATACAGACATTTTGAAAAAAATAATCCAGAACAAAGGCAGTCAATGCCTCTGCTTGAATCACTCGCAGCTATGTGAGTAACCCATAGGGCATTGTCTCCCAACTTGAAAAGCGTGGGTCACAATACCTGGCAGAGAGTAATGACTTGGTCTCTGTGATCATTACCATTATTAAGTCACAAAGATGATTCTACCTTAGTACCCGAAGGATGATCTCATTCAGTTACAGTGAAAATGAAAGGCAAATACAAACAAGTCATCCTGTACCATACATTTTAGGAACTGAAATCGATCCTATCCATTCATGGGTACCCAAACAGAGTCAGAGCCTGGAGAAGAGGTTTTGTTTATTACGGTGTCGCCTCTGCAGTTCTGGCACACCCGGTGCCGTGCTGTTTCCTGGGACAAAATTAATAAGCTGAGCCCACTGCCCATTCTTTGGAGAGTTTAAACTTTCCACTTTTGAGGTATTGCTCACTGATTCAGTATGCAGAGCCAGGACTCACTTCTTTCTTGCAGAATGAATCTGCTGAGGTTCGTTTCCTTCTCAAAATAAACATGCACCCAGACATCCTGTCTTCAAAATGCGACTGGCTTTTCCTGTCAGGTTGAAACGACAGAGGATGATTTTGAATGGAAATGGAAGCATCATCTAAACAACTTGGAAAGCTCTGAGAGATAAGTTTCTTCAGGATGGAGTGGAAGGTCACACTTGTTTGTCCTGTGTGTTCCCTCTTCTGTCCCTTGAATAATCCTTCACCCCCAAAAGAAGGCTGCTGTTCTCCTAACACTTGGCTTTCTTGTCTCCAGGGAAAAGGAATTCGTTGACACTAAACACATTTGCCCCAGGCATCTAGTATATGTGGCACCTAATATGAGCTCAATAAAAAAAAATTTTAACCTCGTTACTGAGGGATCCCATATGTTCTCCCTCCCAAGGAACGTATGAATTTTTATTATTATTATTTTTTGAGATGGAGTCCTGCTCTGTCACCCAGGCTGCAGTGCAATGGCTTGATCTCGGCTCACTGCAACCTCCACCTCCCCGGTTCAAGTGATTCTCCTGCCTCAGCCTCCTGAGTAGCTGGGAGTGCAGGTGCGCACCACCACGCCTGGCTAATTTTTGAATTTTTAGTAGAGACAGAGTTTCTCCATGTTAGCCAGGCTGGTCTCGAACTCATCAGAGGTGATTCGCCGGCCTCGGCCTCCCAAAGTGCTAGGATTACAGGCGTGAACCACCGCACCTGGCCTGGAACATTTGAATTTTACTACAAAATAGACCATTTAGAACATTTGAATTTTAGTACAAAATAGACCTGTTTAGAAGAGGATTGATGATCTAAAAGCGTGAATCTCTAACTGATGTTCTGATACTAGTGAGAAAAGTAATTTGGGGCAGGGTGGGGGTGAGTTTGTGTTTCTGCTTCCATTCCTGAGACAAAAATGACTGTCCCATTTATATCAGAAGATCATTTAGAGCTGCTGTTTCTCAAATGTAAAGTGTGCGAAGTGCGTGTGAATCACACGGGGATCTTACAAAATGCACATCCTGATGCAGCCGGTCCGGGTGGGGCCTGCACTTTTGTGTTTCCATCAGGCTCTCAGGTGGTCTCAAGGCTGGTGGTCCACTGACCAGTTTGAGCTTCAGGGATGGGGAGAATTTTGCTAAAGAAGGCTTGAGGTGGAAGAGGGGAGGGCAGATTCCTATGGCTGTTTGGGCTTCCAGACAGAGCCCTCTGCAGGCTTCCCTGAACCCAGGAGTCTCCCTTGAGAGGGCTTAACCCCGCTAGTTACTCCCGTGCCTCTGCACACCCTCCCTACCCAGTCCACAAAAGCAAGTCAGGGTAAGTAGTGAAGGTGGGGAGGGCAGATGAAAATCTCCCTAGACAGCGCAACCCTGAGCTCACACAGCACCCAGCTCACTGCGACTGGTGCAGCTCTGGGCTCTGGGCTCTGAGAGCAGATGGCAGGTGGGCAGCATCCCATGGAGGACCTTGGCCCCTATCATACCCCCCACCCTGGGCAACTCTCACACCTCTCTCCTCAGCTCCTTCCCAGGCTGAACAGAGAGTCACCTGAAGAGCAGACTGTCTGCTGATCATTAATCACATCCCCAAGACCTTGTGTCCATGCCCAGACACCGAGCTGGCGGAAGATGGCCAGCTTTAGAGAAAGCTGCTCCAGTGTGAGTTAGGAGGCGCCGTGATGTGTCACTTCGTGATCTCAGTAACATTGCTGGGCTTACAGAGCAAGAAGGAAAGAAACCCGTATGTTCTCAGGCCTTGATAGCTTATTTCCTAAAACAATACAAAAAGAACAAACTAAAGCAATTTTTAGAATGTTGCTGGAGATCAAAACTCCAGTGACTTTCAGCATGCATATATTGGTTGAGGGGTTTTGGGTTACTAACCACAATCTGCCCAAGGTGGATTAAACCATTTTTTCTTTAGATTCTAGTGCAGAGGTGTCCCCAGGGCCCCAGCCAGTTTGCTACCTCCTCGCACCCCTTTCTTACTGTGCTCCCTATGTAAACCACTGTGCTCAGCTCCCCTCCATGCCTGGGCACCTCTCCCAAGCCAGGCCTGTGTGAGTGAGCTTGCGTCTTCTGCTTCTCACTTACCCTACCATCCCATTTCAATTCCTGAAGCTAAGCAGGCAAGTGAATTTGCAGTAATGTTTTAGTGAAAACAGTAGCTCAAGACAGCCTCAGGTATGTCCTATACAAATCATTCTGCATTGCTGGTTCCCATGGAAGAATGGGAGCTAGGGGAAGAATGGACCAGGCAGGTCAGCTTCCTCTCCGCTTCCACCCAAAGTGCAGAAGTGCTGCCTGCTTTATGTAATCACCCAAACAAATAGCAAAGGAACATGCTAGAGCCATCAGGCATGTAAGACTAGCCTACAGACAGGGAGAGTGGTGGCTAAGCAAACTGTGGTGGCAACAATCTGACTCAAAAAATTCCACCCCATCTCCCTGATTTTCTTATCACAAGGCTTTGTCCCCTCTTAGACCTGTTAGGGTTCCCAGATAACAAAAATGCTATGTTGTATAGACATGTCTATCCAAGGGTGGATAAGTGCCACAGTCTCCCTTGAGAAGCTTTTCTTTGGAAAAGAGATCTCAACTGTGTGAAGTAAGGGGACCTGGAGGGGCCAATGCTAGTGAGTTGGGAAGAGGCTGCAGGGCATGGTGAGGATGGGAGAGGGCTTCGATGAGGCTGCAGCTTTGAATTTTTGTTGACATTTTCAGAAGCATGATCTTCTATTGCTGTATGTCTTCTGTGACTCTTGTTTTGCCTTTTAATTACACGTAGATGATAATCCCTCCAACTACCATCCTCTCAGTGAAGAAGGCAGTGCTTTTGCAAAAGAAGGAGGCCTAAGGCCTGGCATGGTGGCTCACACCTGTAATCCCAGCACTTTGGGAGGCTGAGGTGGGTGGATCACCTAAGGTCAGGAGTTTGAGACCAGCCTGACCAATATGGTGAAACCCTGTCTCTACTAAAATTACAAAAATTAGCTGGGTGTAATGGCGTGTGCCCGTAGTTCCAGCTACTTGGGAGGCTGAGGCAGGAGAACTGCGTGAATCTGGGAGGTAGAAGTTGCAGTGAGCCAAGATCCCGCCACTGCACTCCAGCCTGGGAGACAGAGCAGGACTTCATCTCAAAAAGTAATAATAATAAAAAAATAAAAGCAGGGGGCCTAACAAGATGATCTAGCTGTGACATGTGAACACCAGTGAGAATGGGCTATTGGAACAGGCCAGGTGCACATTCTCACTATTCCTCAAATCACCTGACAAAGATGGCTCTGCCCTGTCTATATCAGGAGATCACATTCTTGGGTTAAAATACTGCTGAAATGAGTGATTACCAATGAGGAGAGATGTTTTCAACTTCTGTCCTCTTTCCCTGCTGCATCTCTCTCCTCTACCATATGTCCTGGCTCCTCAGAATTCTGTGGCACACAGGGTCCCTTCTCTCCCTCATGGCAGACCATTTCCCCAATCTCTGCACCACCTGAAATTCCAGTGGGACTCTAGGACATTCAATACTATCATGGGACTTTCTTATCAATGTGTGATGAGTGACCGGCTGTTTGGTGGAACTGCAGCACAATTTATAAGGTTGGGTTTCCCATTTCAACATTTGCTTCCCTAAGATGTCTGTGAATGAATATAAAGCATGTTGGGAGAAGGGAGATAAAAATATATATGTACAGTACATAGCTCTTCCATTTCAGGGGTTGGTATGGATGAGGTCTGCTGAGTTCTAGAAGTATTTCAGGATTTGGGTCAGTTATGCAGAAGTCTTAGAAAGGTTTAATGTGGTAGTCATGGTGGGGTGCTCTATACGGTCCTAGACAATAATGCTCCCAGATTCACCTGGTCCGGGACTCGCAGTTCCTGGGTCGAGTCATACTCAGACCCATTCTAAAGCGCTGGGGAGACTCTGTGTACCGGTGTGTGCATGTGTGTGTTCTGAGTGTATGTGTGCGTGGGGGGGGAGCCAGGAGGGATGTGTGTGAGTGTGTTAGGGATGAGGTAGTCCTGGCTTGGTTATCTTCTCCCTTGCTGACTTCTGCCAACTTATCACCATGGCTGTGCTTTCATTCTTCTCAAAATCTGCTATTGAATGACCTTATGCTCCTAATGACCTTCTCACTAAGATCATGCTTTTGGAACCAGACGGGGACTTAATGTCATTTCCACCACTTACTCACTATGACCTGGGGCCAGTTGCCTGAACTCTTTTTGCTTTAGTTTTCTCATTTATCAAATAAAGATAATAATAAGCTGTCATGAGAACCAAATAGGTTAATTCACACAAAGCACTTACTTAATCTCCCCAAGCAAACGTTTCTCAAATAGTAAATAGTTTCTTGTAAAGATCAGGGGTACATGTGAAATCACCTCGCCAAGTGCCTTTACATTAGGCAGCATATGAGGGGAGGTTATTACATGTAAAACCAATAATCACACCTTATTCTATGATGATGGGCAAGTATCCTGATGAGTGCCTGCCATGTGTTAGGACTTCTGGTGATCTCATGCAATTTACTCTTTATTTTTACCATAAATTCTATAACATTTCGGAAAACTGTTCAGAGAGACTGGGTCCTTTGTCACTGAGTAAATAACTGGGAGAGCAAGGATTTGGACTTGGATCTATTTGGCCTCAAAGCCATGTATTTTTTCTTCTACATTGCAATGATTTTTTAAAATAAAAAGTATGTTATTTGAGCATAAGATTTAAGATCCAACATTCACGTTCTGGAAATCCGGTGAATATAGAAGTTTTAGCTTTATTACTGGGGCCAGCTACACAAATGAACAAACTGATCTCAGAAGCCTGCAGAAAAGGGGTAAAATGATGAAATCGCAGATTTTGAGAAGAATAAAGAAGAATAACAGCCAAGTTGATGAGTAGGCAGAAGTCAGCCCTAGGATAGAGAAATAGGGGAGGGAGTGGAGCACAGGGCATGTTACAACTTCAGCACTGACGCTGTGCAATGCATTGTGTAAAGCTAATGTATAATGAATGTGCCTCACAGCTCTCTGTGCCCCTCTGGGAGATTCTAGCTTATGTGACACAGCAATGTGAATTTCTGCAAACCCA